TTCATTTTGTCAGAATACAAAATCAAAACTGACATCAATTCCAGCTTGATTAATTCTTACTCACTTTTGAACAAAACTGACGTTAGACTTCTTAAAAATAGGATCTTTGTCCTTCATGCTCCACTGATAACGTTATGATCTAATGATAAACCATAGTAACATTGAAACAGCTAAAAGCTCAAAAATGTGACTAGAAAAAAGTTTTCAGTCCAAAACTTTGTTTTAAAACTTTGTTTTATCCACCGTATTTGCACTAATAGAAGCCTACAATGGCCTTTGAGCTTAATTATCTCGGTTCCTATCAGAGATATTAAAAACTTGTAAACTGATAAAATATTGCTGATATTATGATAAACGTTTTGTCAGTTAACGGGTTTTTAATATCTTTCACAGGAAATGAGATATATAGGCTCAAAGTTGATTTTTTAGGTTCAAAGTTAAAAACTTTTAGGTCTGATCAAAACACCTTTTAGATTATTCAAAAAATCTATGTTTTCAGAACCCTCTTGTTCTTGTTATTCCAATTGTATCTGTTTAGTCAAATCTCTTTAAAATGAGCTGATTTTTTCAGGCACCCAAATTTTTCCTTTCCTTGTCAACATGGCTCCTCAAAAAAGTCTCGGAGCACTATCCAACGACATCACGCTTGGCGTCTACATTTTTATACTGACTTTTCAAGGTCTATGCGCTGCAATGAATGGGTACATACTGTACTTGTTTGCCAGGTAAGTACAGTATTCCCACTGATAGTTAATTCTCAATTTTTTAGCCGGAAAGATCTGCGAAAAAACAAGCATATGCGATTGATAATATTCCTCTCGCTTGGTGACTTCTTGCTGGCTATCGGTGAATTACCATATATAATTTATATGACCGTAAACTGGAGTGTCACCCTACTGGATTACAATCCAATGTACATTATGGTCACAGCTCAGCCTCTCCCATTGCAGCTGAAAATTTCAGCAACCATTACCGTGGGAATCGCTTTGGGAAGGAACATTGTGAGCATCATTTTTCAAGAACTTGAATTTTTATTTTTAGAATTTCAGGCCCTATTCTTCCCTTCCCTTTATCGTCGTTTGGATCAAGGCGATTTTTCTAACGCCGTCATTCTTATTGCAGTTCTTTTGGCGTTATTTGATGACTTTTTGTACTGGTACACAACCACCATAGAGCATCATTTGAACTGTGGAACAATTGGATGCTTTGTGAGCGATCAGTTTCGCTACTACTGGGGAATTTCAAATATGGTAGGTTATTCTGAGCGGCAGATGGTTTTAAACGAATTTTGATGATTTTTAGCGCCAATCTTTAGCTCTTGAAACCTCACGATACATCTTTTTTGAGCTATCAGAGCTTTCTGATTTATTATTTGAGTTATTAAAACTTTGTGACCCATTTTGTGAGCTATTAGAACTTCCTGGCTCATTTTTTCCAGCTTTAGAACTTTCTGACAAATTCTTTGAGCTATTAGAACTCTATGACCCATTTTTTGAGCTATCAGAAATTCTTGACTTGTTTCTTGTGCGATTAGAAGTTTCTGTTGTTAGAACTTCTATTCGAGATA